TGACCTGGTTTACTGTAAAAAGGAGATAAAGGGTAACACCCGTTTTGCCATCCTGGTGTGAGGATTAAATTGGGTTAATATACAAAGTCTTCCATACTTCACTTTAGGTCCCCTTTCTAGCCTTGGCCAGGCAAAGGAAGTACCCGACCTGCGACTTGAACAGAGGGAGCCAAAGAATGATCGTGGGCGTGAGAGGAGAAGGGTATCTGGGAGATGCCCAGTGAGTGGGGCGGGACTCCAGGCCAAGGGGACAGCCCGCTAAGGCAGGGATAGGAAGGCGAGTGGGGAGGGGCTTCCTGCAGACTAGGGCACAGCGCCTTCTGTGCGGGGGCTGGTGCAGTCCAGCCCACATTGTGTGTGAAGCCCTGGAGCTGGACTTTAGGCTGACACGTGTTATTTGGCCCCCATGTGTTTGAAGAAACTCTGGGGCTGGGTGCCAGTGTTCAAAGATGGAACCTAGAAAATAGATTTCCCACCTTCTCTAGGAAAGTGGGTAGGTGCTGCCATTGTGGTCCTGAGATACTCTCCCCCAAGACAGACACTTAGGGTGACTCAGCCTCTTCCCTGCCATGGCGTCGCTGCCTGTGGGCACCATGGAGTGCCAACTGACCTTTTAATTTAGGAGTGTGGCAGGGTGGAACGTCATTTTTTCAGATGGTACCTAGTGGTGGTTAGGGCCTGCTGACACCCAGGCACCCAGCGGCCCTGACACCCAGGACATGGACTCTGAGTATATACCGGATTTAAAGCCCCAGTGGGCCTCTTTTTTCCATACTAAGGTAATCGTATTTGTTGAACTGTCAGTCCCACACTTTTCTTGCCCATCTTGGGTACTTGTGCCATCAGGGGGATGCCAGTGCAAATTGGGGCCACCATCCTGTTTAATTATCGTAAAGTATTGACCTCCCCCCGACTCCGATCTTCTTCCTCATCCTTACTGTATTTGCTTCTGTTTCTAGAATACCTGTCAGCTACAGAAGAGTGGGAGCCACTTACACAGTTCCAAATTTTTAGTGGCTACATTGAAGAAGTAAAAAGAAACAAGCAAAATCAATTTCAACAATGTATTTATTTAACCTAGTAGTTCCAAAATATTACCTTTTCAATATGTAATCAGTATATTTAAAATCACTAAGAGGGCCAGCAGATGCTGGGGTGGTTAGTGCACTGGACTCCCACATGGCTGACCACGGTTTGAGTTGTGGACATGGTGGCTTGCTTTCTCTCTCTCTCCTCTCTCTCATGAGCACACATGCCCTATAGCAAACTTTTAAAATAATAGTGATGTTGATGATGATAAAGAAAAAGAAATAATTCTTAAAAAACAATAGTAACCACTAATGAGGACGACCAGCCAGTGACATGGTGGCTGAAGCCCTGAATTCCAACATGGCCTACCGTGGTTCTAGTTCCAGACCTGGCAGCTTAAAAATCACACAGGTTGCATGCATGTATGTGCATGCCCCAAATCCTGAGGAAAGAATGGAGAAGGAATTATGGTGTGGCCATAGCACTGGGGTAATTTCTCACTTTCCCTTTCCCTCTCTGTCTCTGGCGAGTGCTTGTGCTTTATGGCAAAAACATTGGGGGGAGGGGACTAGTGAGATATTTTATTGGGTCATCGGGAAAGTCATGACACATTTTTGCATAGAAAAACAGAAGAATACGTCATAACTTTCCCAACAACCTAATACATTCTTTTTTTATACCCATACACTTCTAGCACATCTCAGTTCAGATGCTAAATTTCCATGGAAGTTATCTATATTTGCTTCTATAAAATTCACAGTTGAAAATGAAGGTTCAGCCCCAGTAGCACAGGCTGGTCGACACTGCTGCATGGCAGGCCAAGTCCACATGGGAGGCTCAGATTCCATTCCGGGCCCATCCCAAAGAAGCCAGGCATGGTGGTGTGCACCTTAAGTCCCTGCTGACCCGTTGGCTAAGGAAGGAGGAGCACATTGTGAGACCATGTCTTTTTGCAGGGAGCGAATGGTAGCACTGTGATCAAATGCATCTGTGGTCAAATGCTGGGAGAGGCTGACCCACATGGAATGGTTCTGGGTTCACGCCCAGAGACCTCACTAGGTATACTGGGGGCACACACACCCATGATCTAGGGCTGGCTAGGGCTCGAGGTGGATCATAGCATCAAGACCCTCTCAAGAGTGCTATCTCTGTGTCTTTCTTACCCATAGAAGAAATAAATAAAAATAAACATTTTTTTAGAGGTTTTTGCGTTTGGGTACCTGCACTTGCTGTAGAGAGAGACAGAGACAGCAAGAGGAAAAGTGAGAAATCACCACCCAAGGGAGATGGCCACTCCACAATCCCTTTTCCTCCATTCTCCTCCCAGGATCTTGGGCATGCACACACACGTCCGCATCATGAGTTTCAAGGCACCGGGTCTGGAACTCAAACTACGGTTGGCCAAATGAGAGTCCAGCAACGTAACCACGATGCCACCTGCTGGCCCCTAAATATAAGCTTTAAAAAAAGAAAGAAAAGGAAGGTTCACATAGTTGAGTTGTTCCAAAGATATTTTAAAGTTTTCCGGTAACTATATTCCCTGAGACTTTAAGCCTAGAAACTATCGGACATTTCCACAGATGCATCCTGAGAGCTGACCCTGCATTGACGAACAAGTCGGATAAACTCTAGAGGCCTGAGCTAGGCAAGCCTACCACAGACTGTGGACCAAGGGCTTCTGAATCACCCGGAATGAGGAGGAGTGGCTGCTGGGTGGCTTCAGGGAACACTCGCATTACCATTCCTGGTTTCCACTGCCTTCTTGCAGTGGTGTAGCACTTTCTTGGGCAGGGGCCCAAGTTTGCCTCTAGACCTCCTGGGTCTCCACACTGTGGTTGGCATGTTTTAAATCAGAAATAGACTGAACGTCCATGCCCTGGCTCTGTGTTCTCTAGCTTAATCCTAATGACCAGTCTGCGAGCAGGATACCTTGGCTCTTATCTTCAGAGGAAGAAACTTCAAAAGCTTTAGCAGTTGCCCGAGGAATGTTAAATTGGCGGGTCACAAGGCAAGGAGTATTTGATAACTATCCTTTCTTATGATTAAAAACAGCTGAATAATGACTGCTGTATCTAGGGCTGCTCCATGGCCTTAGTGGTTAAGGGAGCTGGATCGATCCCACATGGCCAAGCAGGGTTCGAATCCCATCCCCTGCCTTAGAAAAGCATTCTGGGTGCATCTGTGTACATGCCACAAAGCCCAGAGGGATGGAGAAATGGAGGAGACGGGATTGCAGCATGACCACATCCCATCAGTTGTGCTTCTCCCTCTCCCTCTGTATCTCTGGCTTTCTCTGGCGAGCACACATATCCTGTGGCAATTTTTTTAAAAAAGGAAAAGAAAAGATTTCTACTTGCGGTTGTGAAAGAGTAACTTGCAGTGGACCAAACCTACCACCAAGAACAACCTTAAGAGATACATAAAGTTTAAAAAAATAAAACAGGAAAACAGCTGTGCGGAGGTCTCTGAAGACTGAGACAGCTAGGATTGGAGGGGCCAGGGTCCTTAGGGAAAAGCAGTTCCCTGAGGACATCCAGAGACTCTCAAGCATGTTTCCCTTCTTATTAGAGCCCTGTCCTGATTCCCGGGCAGGAGATTCTTCCCCCGTGGGGCAGAGTCGAGCCAGACTGACTCCATGCCAGCTCCGCCACTTCGTACCTGTCAGACTTTGGGCACTCACCCTTGGTGCCTCAGTTTCCTCAGCTGGAAATGCGAATGTCACTGAGTCTCCTTGTTAGTAGGTCTGCCCTTGTGAATTCACCCACTCAGTGACGGTGATTAGTGATCCCCAAATCAGTTCACCTGATGGCTCTTACGGCGGTTTTGCAGACATGTGCAGAGCCCCCTAAATGTGAGTACCCTACATGAATATTCCCAGGAGAGGCCACCAAGGCCTCTGCCTTCTTATGTCAGCTCTCACTATGTAAGCAAGAGTCCGCTCGTGGTCTGTTTAGTGCCATGTTTTTTATGTCTTTATTCTTTTCATGAGATTGCCTATAATGGTCCCCATGAGCCGACTCCATGTTGCAGAGGTAATGTGCTGATCAAGAGAAGAGAAGCTGGATCTTGGGACCAGCAAGTGTCATAGTGGTTAAGGTGCTCGACTCCCACATGTCCAACCCTGGTTTGAGTCCCAGACCTGGACGCCTAAAACTCACACTGGGCGTATATACGTGCGTGCCCAAAATCCCGAGAGGAGAAAGAGAGGCTGGATTGTGACATGGCCATCCCAGGGGTAATTTCTGGGGGTGATTTCTCACTTTCCCTTTCTCTGTCTCTCTCTCTCTCTCTCTCTGCCAAGTGTATGCACCCTATAGGGAAAAGAAATCTTAAAGAAAGGAAGAGAGAAAGGGAGAAACCAGATCTCACATGGAGACTAAGTTTTGAATCCCGTCCTGGTCAGCCTGAAACACTCTGGGATCACATACGAGTGCCCAAAGTGAGATGGGCTGGAGAACTGGGCAAAGGGCGTCAGGGTGGGACCAGCACCTATGGAGGGTGTTCATCTCTCTCTCCTCTCTCTCACATGTACCACATGCATGTGCACCATCAAGAATAAAGGGGGAGGGCCAGCAAGTGGTGTGGTGGTTAAGGCAGCTGGATCCCACATGGCTGACTGCATGGTTTAAGTCCCAGACCCACAGGCTTGAAAATCACACTGGGCACATGTGTATGTGCCCAAAATCCCAAGAGCTGAATGAAAGAGAAGGGACTGCAGCATGGCCATCCCTCTGGGGGTGATTTCTCACTTTCCCTCTCTCTGTCTTTCCCTGGTGAGCACACACACCCTCTGGCAAAAACCTTAAAAAAAGAGAGAGAAAAAGAGGGATGACGACAAAAGATTCCTGAGAAATATTTCTGAAACACTTTACAGTTACTTTAGAGTGTAGAAATGGCAATATGGAAACTGTACATGGATAGATGATAATATACTAGAAAATGGTAATGTTCTTCTTAACTTTGACTCATAGAATCTGAACCTTCACTACCTCAACCAGCTTCTGGATGTCCAAAAGCAGAGTGTCTCTGTGACACATTTGAAGAAATTGGGAACTTTGGGTGACCCAAGGTAAGATGAAACACCTTCTACATCGGGCCCCCTGGTCTAGGCTTAATGGAAGGCCTCTGTTGTTCAAAACCTCAGGTTCTCTGTCTTTGTGCAGTCTTCAATCCCCAAAGCTCCCTTTTATTCCCTCTACCTGCAATGTGCCAGTCCGCCCCTGCATTATCATTCTCTTGTTGCACTTGCTGAAAGCAACAGGAGCCACCTGGACACCGGAACATTCTAACTGTCCCCAGAGCCATATGCTCAGTGGGCATACTGATGGACTTCAGGGTCATCATGGTCACCAGATTTATAGAGGACCGAGCATGGCTCGCTAGGCCTGAAGAGCCTCCTGGGCATCCTGCCTGATGAGTCCATGTTTGGTGACCCTGCCAAGTCCCCAAGCAGTGCTGTGGGCTGCACGTCTGAGGATCTTGCTTTGGTGCCACTCCTCTCCAGCCCCACTTCCTGTCCCCGCCCCAGCCCTCCATGCAGTCCTGCAAGGTTGGGTAGGGCCCTTCCAGGAAGCCCCAAGTCCATCTCCCATCTACAGGGTCCGATTATGGCCTCTGAGACGCACATTTGTCCAGCTGTGTGCCTTCATTGTCTAGGAGCCGGGGCCGGCAGGTGGTATGGTAGTTAGGACTCTGGACTCCCACATGGCCAACTGCAGTTAGAGTCCCGGACTTGGCAGCTTGCTTTCTCATCTTCCTTCTCTCTGGTAAAATTTAAAAATAATAAAATTAGGGGCTGGCAGGTGGCATGGTGGTTAAGGGCACTGGACTCCAACATGGCCAACCATGGTTTGAGTCCCAGACCTGGCAGCTTGCTTTCTCACTTTCTCTTTCTCTCTCTCTCTCTGTTCCTCTCTGGTCAGATTAAAATAAGTAAATAAAGTTAAATAATTCTTTAAAAAATAATAAAATTAATAAAATAATTCCTTAAAAGCTAACAAACAAATAAAAAAGTGTCTAGGAACCACTAGTGTCTTATTTTAGGCCCCCAGAAACCCTCAGATAGTGAAATTATCTGGCACAGACATCTTAAATATACAGGAAGATTTCAAAGAGTTCATAGAAAAACAGATTTTTTTAATGAATTATTTTTATTTTAACTGTATTTATTATTATTGTTTTCCAATTTGATCAAAGAGAGACAGGGAAAGTGAGGGAAAGTAAAAAGCAAGCCACCAGGTCCAGGACTTGAACCGCAGTCAGCCATGTGGGAGTCCAGCACCTTTAACCACCATGCCACCTGCTGACCCAAAAAAAACCAGGTTTAAAGTACAAGTTTATTTTGATGCAAAAAAAGTACTTCCATGCTTAGCTTTTGCATAATGCTAATTTTCCATGAACTTTTTTGAGAACACCATGCCCACCCCTCACCACACACACACACACACACACACACACACACACACATACATGTGCCCCCCACACCCACACCCTGCTGCCATCACCATCACCACCACCCCTACCACCACCACTCATATATCCTCACAGGTACAAAGGCTCTTACAAGGATGTTTATTCTAGCAATATATTTATTGCTTTAACTCGCCATAAAATTCACCATTTTAAAATGTGAGTTCAGGAGTGGTTAGTGTCCTCCCGAGGTTGTGCGACTGTCAGCACCGCCTAACTTCAGGTCAGGGTCATTCCTTCTACAAGAAGCCTTGAACTCACCGTGGTCATTCCTACCTCTGCTTTCCCCAAGCCCTGGCAACCACTCACCTACATCCTGTATTTGCAGATTTTTCTGTTTGTTTTTTCTTTTTAAACATTTTGTTTGTTTATGGAGAGAGAGAGACGGGTCTCACACCAGAGTTCTCACCTCAGCTAGGATGATGAGCACATGTGCAGGCCTGGCACCTGTAAGTCAACCTGACCTTCCCCATGGTCCCAGCATCTCAGGGTGACATGTCACTGTTGCACCAACACAGCTGGGCCGAGTCTCGGTGGGTTAGCAGCGTTGTTTCCAAAGTGAAAAATACACAGAACTATCTCCAAGGCATAAGCACACAGCCTGAGAAATTTTTAGAGACTGAATATACCTCTATAAAATGTTAGCAGCCAGGGGTCAGCAGGTGGTGTGGAGGTCAAGGCACTGGACCTCACATGGCCAACTGAGCAGTCCCAGACTCAGCGGCTTGAAAATCACATTAGGCATGCTCCAAATCCTGAGAGAAAGGAGGAGAAAGGATTGTGGTGTGGTCATTCCCCCCTGGGGGGTGATTTTCTCACTTTCCTTGGCTCTCTCTCTCTGCTGGCTCTCTCTGGTGAATGCATGCATCCTAGAGAAAAAAAAAAAAAAAAAACTAAAAAAATTTAATTTAAAAAGGAAAATAATTTAGCAGTGCCTACAAGCAGGCTTCCTGCTCACTTCTAATCAGTCGGCCTTCCTTCCCTTCCTTCTGGCCATTGACCGCTCGGAGTAACTACCATTCTGATTCCCAGCTGCATGGAGTAGTTTTGCCTGTTTGGTTTGTTGTCTGTTTGGTTTGTTTACTTTATATAAACGGTATCATTATGTATGTTTGTGTGTGGCTTTCTCCCACCCTGATTGTGTTTGTGAGATTCACTCGTATTGTTCCTGGAGTTATAAGGAATCCCATTTTGCTATGCAGCATCCCTCTGTATGACTATACCACAACTTGTTTATTGTATTTCCTGTGGCTACCTGGGTAGTGTCCAGTTTGGAGCTACGGGATAGATCTGCTGGGGACATTGTGCTTTACTGTGCATCTTTCGGTCAACCTGTGCATGCGTTTCTGTTGGGCAGACCCAGCGAGGGGATGTGTTCGCCATCAGTGTTAATAGAGACCGCCCCAAGTGTGCAGTGTACCTGCCCGTCGGCAGCACGTGACAGCCCCAGCTCCTTCTCTTCCAGTCCATCTCCTGATACTATTACCCATCTCTTAATTATTCTGAAGTATATCATTGTGATTTTTAACTTACATTTTACTGCCGATTAACAAAATTAAGCACCTTTTCTTATGTCATTAGCCATATGGAATAATATATATTTTTTTTTTTCAATTTGCCAGAGGGCATGTGTGTTCGTGGGGTGGGGGGTAGTGAGAAAGCACACACACACACACACACACACACCATAGGGAATGATCATGCTGTAATCCCTTCTTCATTTCTCCCTCCTTTTGGGATTCATTCACATACATATGCCTGTCATGTTCCCCAAGCTGCCAGGTCCAGGACTGAAACTGTGCCGTTGGCCATGTGGGATCCAGCCACTGTAACCATCCCACCACCGGCTGGCCCTTGATAATCTTTTTTTAAATGAAATATGCTCAAGTATTTTTAAATCGTTTCTGTTTGCTTATTTTTCTTCTTGACTTATAATTCTTTTTTTAAAGATCTTTCTTTCTTCTTCTTCTTCTTCTTCTTCTTCTTCTTCTTCTTTTTTTTTTTTTTTT